CATTGCTTGGGCACTGGTGACAATCCTACACAGAGCAGCGTTACCACGGAGAAGCTGCTTGGCCTGGGGAAAGTGGATTAATGGTCTCCAGCCAGGCTGCAGTGGAAAGTTGTCATAGGAACTGGCTGGCTGTTCCACAGGCCTGTGCCTTCGCTCCTTTAAAAGAACACCTCAGTAACTAATCACCTCGGGATAAGAAACACATGCCATCCAGTGTAAAGCCATGGCGAGAGCAGGGCACTCCAGATCTACCAAGGGAAACTGAGGGCAGTGCTGTACCCAGCAGGGCACAGATGTGCCTTGGGATGAGCTGGCAGCGCCTGCTCCCCACCAGGTCCCTGCCTGGGGGTGGCTCACAAACACTGGGTGTCCTGATATGAAACAGCTGTGGCTTCTTTAGCAGTGAGAATAATAGGAGAGAAAACTGAACAGAATGTGCCTGGGAGGGGAAGCCTTGCCTGGCTCTTTTTTTTTTTTTTGGGAATGTATTTGGGAATGTATTTGGGAATGAGATGTTTCCAAGTTAGTGCATGGGAATTCCTCCCTTATTGTCTGTACTGCATCTACTCTTAAAATTTTATTTATTTAGTGTCAGCAGTACAAATATAATTTCAATTGTTATTTGAAATGGCCACAGTCTGAGTCTTCAAGAGCTGGCTATTCTATTCTGTTCTGAATTATATTCTTTATGAGTATCTTTGAAGAACCCATTGATTCAAATATTTCCTATTTTAAAATGTCTGGTTTGTGCTATTAAAGAAATTACTATGTCTCATGATTATGATGCTCGTAGCAATGAACTGTATTTTGTTTTTTAATCATTATAACTTACTAACTGGAATGGTTCCTAAAACTTGGGACTGTGCACTCTACACATAGATCACATGCATAACATGAATCTGCTTCTTTAACACAACTGCAGAGAGAATCCAGCATATACAATAAATAGAACTTTATGTATGGTAAACAGACCTTAAGTAACATCTGGAAAAAATTGCATCGATCTTTAAGGTAGCCACTGTAAGCAGCTGATAATCTAAACCTGCCTACATAAATGTAGTTACTAAGTCTCATGTGTTTGCAGGGCTAAAAAGATGCTGGGGAGACCTGCCTGTATGAAGCCGTATTAGGAGAAACACATTTTATATACGGCAGTATGAGTTTGAGGAGGGAGCCTGAGTAATTCAGCCTCAAAAACCCACGGCAGTCTGTGTTGAATCTTCACTATTACCTGAATCTGTAACAGTGTGTGCACCATACTATAAAGCCAAAAGCAGATTTACTCTTATTTCCTGGACAGTTAGGTCCCCAGACATAGGAGCAGTGAGTGGCTGTGTGCCAGAACTCTCAGTCCTGTCACTTTTTCAAGTCTGGTACAGCATGGTAGAAGTTAAACTTGTGGCTTGCTGGTGACCTTAACTTATCATCCTCTGGGCATGAATACCTGCTGTGGGATTTACCAGCACAGTCAGCCCTTTTTTGGTGGTTTCACTAGAGACACCGTCCTGATTAAACCGGGGAGGTTGGAGACCTCACTGTGATCATCTACATGCTTCTCGTAATAACCAAGGAGGAAAACAAGTGGGTTCTTACCCTGTGCATCATACCAGCTCAAAGTGATTTAGGTTCTGCATAGGTGTGAGCCCATCAGATGTGGAGAGCAGGAGCCACAGTAATGAGACACCTGTAGAAATGATTCTGGGACTGAAACCTGTTAGTTTCTCTTTTGAAACTGAAAAATGTGTGGGCAGAGCTTCTCTGAGCGGATGAAAGAAGGAGAGGTCCAAGGAGATGTGATTCTTCTGAGATTGGAAGGTGGCTCCAAAGTGAAGTTAGTAGAAACAGATGTGCAGGAGCAATGTACTCTAGTGCAGCTCTTGTTGTACCCAGCCTGTAAAGAAGGTGGCTGTGGTCGCTGTAACTGCCATTCCAGCTCTTTTCACCACAAGTGATTTATTTAAAAACAAAAGCTCCTTAAAGTAATTATGTGGTCCAAACATAGCTTAATTTAGCTATAAAGTGTTCACAGCTCCTAGCTGTGTTTCAGATATTTTCAAAGACTTGCTATTTTGCTTATGTGCTTACTGCAAGATTAACGTTGAGCCTTGTTTGGCACAGTTGGTTCAGAGGAAGGGGTAAAACAGAGACTTCCTGTACGTATTTCTGCAGGAGGCTCTGAAGTAGAGTGGTTTTCCACTGTGTATTTACGAGCAGGCCTTTGGATTAGCTGGCTTTGACCCAGGCCTTGCAGTTCTCCCTGTTAACTTTGGCATAATAGATAAAACTCTTAAGATACATTCTTGCTAGATTTTCAGGAAGCAACGTCTCACTGAACCTTCCAGGAAGGTATACTTCCCCGAAATATTTTCCAGCTGGGGTGGTCCAGTTTTGGCAGTTGTGGTGGCCTGATCTGGATTGTGAGACCTTCTGGATGGGTTGTCCCTCTCTTGTGTGAGCTGCTGCCTTTTCCCTGGCAGCAGCTGCTGCCTGCACTGCTGTGGTAGGAACAGCTGCATCCCAGCTGTGTCCATTGGGTTCAGGAGCAAGCATTTAGTTGTTCAGGCAGTGTTTGCTGCTGAAATCAGTATTCCTTCTCTCCTTTGGACAATGTTAGCTGTGGATGGGAATCAGCTCATACTTTACTGCTTGGACTGGACTCCTCTTGGCATTTGCATCAAATGCAGTGTGTCTGGCCATGATGTATATAATAAGAGAAACTTTGTAGTCAGTTTGTAAAGTAACCTGGAAAGGAAGGTAAATTCAAAAGAATGAAGATGGTTTATCATAAAGCACCCAGAGTTCTCTAGACTAGCTAGTAAATCTGCTGGGGTTTGATTCAGTTGGTGGTGAGTTACATATAGGCATGCACAGTGAATAATTAGGAACATGAGGTCAGAGAAGAGCATGTGAATATTCCTCTCTCAGAAACCCAAAAGAGGTCATGAGGTTTATGCCAGAGCTTTGTAATCATAACACGGCAATTACCAATAATAACATCTAAGAATAAGTGCTAGCAAAGGGCAGGCAGCATAGGTAATTTTGGAAGTCAGTAAATAGAACAGTTGCAATCAAAAATAAATAGTCTTTTAATGCTAATTTTGTTTGCTTTCTCTGTCTCCAAGGTGTCTTTTTTTTCCCCCCCCAAAGGAATAGCTAAACATGTTGGCAAAGATATTTCAAATGTTTCTCTCTGATCTTTTTGGATGTTACAAAGTAATTCCATTTCAAGACTATGTAAAGATATATGTGGCCTTTGAAGTCGTAGGAAAGGGCTGTAAAATTTGGTCCCAAGTGTCCTGCTTAAATCATGTCCTTTCTGACACCCTATGCAGCATTCCCTGAAAGCTTTTAAGACCAGATGCTCATAATAGCTGCATAATAGTTTCTTTTTCATTGCTTGTTCAGTTCCACTTTTATAGTGTTACTCTCAGTGTGTTCTTTTAGGTCAGGATGAGTTCATTCCCTAAAGAAAAAAAACTGATCAGTTGACCATAAATTGCAAGTGTTCTGAGCATTGGTTAACTTGACACTGACCCTGGGAATTGCTTTTTCAGTTCCTGTAGCTTTCTCATCATTGAATACCAGTGGCTGAGTGAAGCTGGAAAGAAGAATTTAGCATGGAAGCAAGACAGACTGGTAAATCATCTCTTAGTTCTGCTGTTTGGAAACTGAGGCAGGAGTCAAATTTCATTTTCCGTTTCATGCTGCAGGTATCAGTCGGTGCATCAGTGATGTTTAAGGGCAGGTCAGCAAGACAGCCTGTCTCGAGTCTTTCAGTGTTTGAGGATGCTGCATTTCCCCATTGCTTACCCTTGTTAAAAAATAAAAAAGGAATATAAAGCATAGCCTAAAGGAAAATACACACATGTGAACCAGGTCTCTCTGAAGGAAGAAGTGCTCAGCAGACCACTGTATTCCACCTGTAATTAAAAGCAAGACTTCAACAGACAGGGCTGGGTAGGTCTCTGCTAGGGAAAAAGGATAAAAATGAGTGGTTTTGCCTAAAGCTGTAAGTGGCTCAGGTAAGCAGAGACAAACCCCATATTCTCTATCTGAAAATGCTTGTTCTTCCCAAAAATGACTGTCCTAAGCAGTAACTGGTATACCAAATGATCTTCTGCTAAATCCCTTAATTATGTGAATTTAGCCTCTAGAAGGCATTAGCTTTTGTGTACCCTTAACCACTTGGTGACTGCAGACATCCTGAGCAGAATGTGTCTAGCACGTTTTCTTGTTTATTAGAATTGTCCTTATAGTGGTATTGAAATAGAATGATTTTATAGAGAGTAAGTATGTTAAAAATGACATTCCTGGAATGATCAGCAGATGTGTGCAATATTTTATGAGCAAATTTATACAAACTGGAAAGAGTTTTACTTGCTGTGATCTGAGGTGGAGTGTTCATCCATAGCCTTCAATAATTTGGGGACTTCTTCATGTCTGATAAAAATAATGCTGTACCCTTTCTAAGAGTTAGTTAAAAACACATTTGCAGTCTAACCTTTCCTTTTTTTTTTTTTTTTTCCATGTGATAAGAGATTAGGTAGGTTCTTAACCTCTTGTTTTACATGTGTTTTAACTTCTCTTTCAATATTGCACTGGCAGTTTTATGAGCCAAGGCCAAAATACTCTGCTTGCTAAACTTGAGCAATCAGGAGGGAACAGATGATGAAAAACTAACAGTGTTTTACTCATCTACCACTCATTTTTCTTCACAGACATGTAGAGAGCAGATATTAACAAAAACAGTAATAAAGCGCACTGTGAGGCCTCATAAATCAATGTGTGCTGGTGGGGTCAGGAACAAATATTGGAAAGGTTAGAACATGTACAGAGCTGTGTTCCCATGTTGTGACCTCAAAGCAAGGCTGGGAGATCTTCATTTGCTGATTTGAAAGCAATTAGGAGGAGGCATTTCTGTGGCTGCCCAGGAGGCTTGGCGCTGGCTGGGCGTGTGGTCAGCTCTTCTTTTTTGTGGCTCCAGTAGGTCAGGTAACACACTGAAAAAGAAGTCCTGGGAGAATCAGGGCTTTCATATTGCTCTGCTGGGGACAGATGTTTTTAAAGGTGTCTCAGAACCGAGGGGATCCAAGCTGTTTGCTCATCTGCAGCAGGACAAGACTGTGCTGTTGAATGCACCTGCAAGTCTACATCTCCCTGAAGACACAAGTCCTTGAGGCTCCCTGAAGAGAGAGGTCCTGGCTAGAGGGAAGGTTCAATGTTGGGAACTCTCAGCTCAGGTCTTGGTATAACAGGATGTGCTGATGATGCCTTCTTAGTTGTTTGTTAATGTTCTCTCACCCTTCAGGCTGGCAGGTTTCTTCCAGTTTGCAGCTGATGAAGTAGATCTGTCACTTCATCATGTTCCTTCTGAGAACTGCTTATGCTGAGACAAATGCAGAGACAACACTCTGTGTCCTCCTCTGCTTCTGCCAGGGAACAGTCTCCTGTGTCAGCAGGATTGATTTAATGTTAAAACCTAGGGAAATGAACGGCCTATGGAAAGGTGACTGCTTCCCCAAATTAACTTAGTGGTTAGTGTTTTGCTTGCACAGATAGTAAGAAGTTTCCAAAGAAAAGAGGTAGATTCAGTTGGGAAACGGTTTAATGTAGGTCTTTGGAATCACTTGATAAAGCTGAGTCAGTTAGGTTATCAGAGAGAAGCCAGAAACCTAGCAAGAGCTCAGTCATCATAAATGTTTGATTATTTTACTGATGAGTTTAGTCACATAGGATGCCTAACAAAAGCTGTACAAATTAGAAGTCTTTTGGAAGAGGTTGCATATACTGGGAAGAAACTATTCATAAAATTAATTTACTTGTAGAGTTTCCTGTAGTGGTGCCTTGGTACTGCACATCTGTCAAGATTAAATGAGATTTGGGGGCTGATAACATCTAGGTGGGGACAGTATTGTGCCCTTAGGATAGATTTGTAATTTCATTTGTAATCAGGCAGACTATAATCACTATCTTTTCCTCTGATTAAAAAAACAGGTCAGAAAAGTAATGAATTGTTCTTCTTTTGGTGGGGGTGGGTGGGTGAGGAAGAACTTCACACGGTAAGAGCGCTTCAAAACACATACAGTCTTCATGTTGTCTGATTTTCCATCTTTGTGCTTGCTCTGTTGGTAGGTCTGTGGCTTGTTTCCCGTTGGCAGGGAGCTGCTGCCTGCTGAGAGCAGAGTGCAGGGTAGGTTTTGGGTATGTGCCTTTGTGGTCTCCATGGGGAGTGCTGGGTACCGCCAGCCTCTGATCTGGGGAGAAAGGACTTTGTGTGTCGCAGGTTGCAGGGCAGGGGTACCTGCGGGTACTGAACTAGCAGGAACACAGAGCAGGAGGAAGTTGTACTTCTGGCCCCTGTGAACACTTCAGGAGAGTATGAGAGCCAGCCCAGGGTTGATTTTGATGAGCTGAGCCTGCACACAGGCTGTTCTCATCTGAAAGGCTGGATCAGCCTCAGGGAGGGTTTCTTGGAAGGGAGATGGGTAACCATTATTATGGGTGAAAGCAGGAAGCCCATGAAGTCTGTATTAGGCTAGTATGTGTCTGGAGCCCTATATATTAGGATAGCAGAGAATCAGGATCCTCCTTAAATTATGTCTGTATTTATTTTCACTGTGCCCTTTACAGCTGAGAAGTTTCATTATTTTGGTTTGGGTTTTGTGAACAAATAGCAAGTTGAAAATTGGCTGAGTTTTGTGTATGAAGTCCCTGGCTTTGCTGGGTAATATTCTATGTCTGGCATAATTCCACAGTCATCTGGTTTTTTGAAAGATGGGTTTATTTGTCAAAGATCTATCTCTTGTTGTTGGGTAAGTTTGCAAAAAGAAGAGAGACCAGATTAGTATATAAGCATTTGGTCAGCTTTTTCCTTAAAGAAGCTGGGAGGAGAAAGGAATGAGATGGAAAAGAAAACTTTTAGCAGGGAAAGAAAGTTCTCACTTTTCACAGAGCAGTTCTCAGAATTATTGGATTGTTTTCAGCTGTTGATCTCAGTGTTTATTTTCAATCCCCTTTTTTAATGAAGGAGGAGCCAGTGTTCCCCAGTTCTTTACTCAGCAGCATATCCCTTGGCGAGTATTGTGTCTAGAGCCCTGGGACTCAGGCTGAGCAGCCAGTTGGCTCTGCTCACCGGGGCGGAGGAGGGAATGCTTTCTGTTGTGGCTGGAGGGAGATGTGAGTTCATATTTCCAGCCTGCAGAGATGGTTCAGATGCTGATTCTGCTGTCACATCTGTTTGTATAGCCCATAAATGTGTAGAGAGGGCCCATCCTGCATGGAAGAGGGTTCAAGTGTCTAAAAAAATCATCCTTCTTCTTCTTCTTTTTAAAGACCAGGAAAAAGCTAGAATGACTTTTCAGTATCTTTGCTTTTCCCATAAAATTTTAATGAAGCAGGGATGTGATCTTTAGAGACAAGGGTTTTTTTACCAGTAAGCTCAGTCAGTAAGGAAAGACAATAAAAATGTCCTCCCTCAGCCCTGTGCTCAGAAGATGAAGTGAACTTTTGGCTGTTTGCATTACCCAAGCTGTCCTGGTTGCATGCTCTCAGAATGACTGTGCCACTGAACCCACTTGTGCATCTCAAGTACTTTGTCAGTTTGCTACCATGCTTTCTGGAAAGGCCTGTTATGTCTGTGTTTGCTTCCCGAAACACAGTGGAATCTAATGAAAAGCATCATTGTTTTGAAACGCTCCCATCTGCTGCCAAAAGAGCTACTGTTGTATAATCCTTAATGGCAGGTTAGAGTGGCAGCTACTCCTCAGTTTGAAATTGGTATGTGGCAGGATGGCTTCCCAGCTCTCTCTCTGGGGATGACATGTCTCATCTTGTCCTTCCCTTTGGGAGCTGTGACTCACACGGTGTTCAGCTGTCCTGAGCTGGGAATAGACCCTTGAACAGGCTGAACATCAGTGGTGCTGCTTAGGGGTGACAAGGGAAGGGAAGAGAAACCTGCAGTTTCCTTTGAGAATGGGGAGCAAAGACTCAGCTGAATACCAGAGATTACATTTGTCTATTATTGCCAGCACATTGTTCTGATGTAAAAAAAAAAAAAAAGCCGGAATAAAAAATTTAGACTTCCCTTTCTGATTTGCAGAACTCAGTGTGTGTACTTCCATGCTGACATCTCTGCCTTTTGTAATCTATGTTAACCTACAGCTTGGCTGGCACACTGTCAGGCTTCATCTGTGTAGCAAAGATAGTATTTTCAGGTATCATTCAAACATTGAATTCCTGTTGTGGTGAGCATTGGCATCAAAGTTTACTGCCCAATTTTTCAGCTAAAGTAAATATATGGGATGTCAGATAAATATTTTAAATATACTAGAATTAATTTCTGTTGGGTGAGCTGTATTACAGCAAAGGGATCAAATTCATCTCTAGTTTTTAATCTTCCAAGACTCTGGGCAGCTAGAGCAAAAGGCAGTGAAAACATCTTCATAGCCAGGTCCATGCTTGCCTTTGGCAGGTGCTCAGTTGGACAGCAGTTTGGGGATCTCTGCAGCAGAGGTTGCTGTAGGCTGCTGAAGGCCTTTTCCCAAGGAAAAGAATTTCCCAGGGCCATCAGGGTGCATGGTTTATATTGGTGTTGGCTCAGAAGAGCATTGTTTTTTCTGCTGAGGTATTGGGGTGTAAGGTGAGGAGTCTTCTGAGGCATGATGCTCAGTTTGACTGACCTGCTGTATAGCTCAGACCATTGGACTTTTCTGCATTAATTCTTGATTCTGTGAAAAAAGAAGCTGATTGAAACACCCAGACACTTCATTTAGAGCCCTCTGATGATGGAAAAAGTATTTCAGAAATTTGTTGTTTCATAGCTTACTCTCCTCTCTGATAATATTTTTGTGTTGGTTGATTTATTTATCTTCCAGTTACGGGGTCTTGTTCTGTCATTGCTAGACTGAGAGCCCTCCACAGTCAGGCTGCTTGCCTGTTGCAAATGCTTCTAGACCATTTTCAAATCACCTGCAGAGCTACTCTCTGTGCACTGGCAGCCTTGCACTCCAGCCTTTCTCTCAGAGCTTTATTACTTCCTCAGTATAATCAGTGTCATTCTGAATGGGGACAGCTGGCTGAAGGCAGTTTTCCAGCAGAGTTTGTGTCATTGACAGAGACATGGAGTCCTGCTTGGTAATCTTGTACATCCAAGGGTCATATTTGACCTGCAGCTGCAGCATTTCTTTGAGAGCTCATGTTTGTTAATTCTTCTCTGTGGCATAGCTCTTGTGCTTCTGGATCAAGTCTCACATTCCTTAAGTATGGTCCTTCTCCTTTATTTTCTAGTGCTGGAGAATGGGGCACTCTAGTTAGAGAAGTGAAGAAATATCATTACCCCTAACAAACTGCTTGGAAATTGGAAACAACTAAAATGGTAGTTCTGGAAGAGATAGTGAGAAGCACGAGCTATATGGAATGTAGAAAATACTCTTATTCACTCACTGGAGAATGGAGCTCCTGTTTCAAGGGATTAAACTCATCTGCAGCTAGATGAGGAGAATGGATGGTCTCATGGTACTCAGAAAGGGTCAGATTTGAGGTTTGCTCCTCAGAGTTGCACTGTGGATTTAGTTTTCCAAATTCTATTCTAACCATCCATAACATTGATGATAATTAAATAATACTTAAAAATATTTTAATGAACCAGACCTGCCTGGAATTCCTGAAAGAATATAACTCCCTGGATAGAGCTGAATGGACATGAGAAGAAACTTCAAATTAATGTATTTCTGGGTTTTAGTGTTTCTAATGTATTTGGGTCCTGGAGTATTGCAGGAGCTCTAGGAACTGCACAGCCACTCTGTGGGTATGGTTGTCAATAGAAATATTCTGATTTAAAAATCCATGTAAAATAAGCCGGGTTTTGATAAATATGTTTTACAATCTATTTGATAAACAGACATTACTTTAGCATCTGGCTTTAAAACAGAGATAAAATTCAGCCTGAAATTAGATCAAATCCTATAATAAATGGGATGAGTAGAATTCTCCTTTCTTATGTCTTATTCATTCAGAAATAGTCCATGAGTTACCATTGTCTATCAGTCAGACCATGGTTAAAGGAACTTATGACTGGGAGTGCTTTACCAATTTCAGTGGAAGCACCCTCTTGAAAAAGCATCTTCATGATGTAAGCACTGTGGTGGTGTCTAAGAGTAACTGCTACCTCCTTCCTGTAGGAAGAGTCAGAGCCAGTGTCAGAGATTGTAGGCTTGGAGTTAGGAGGTTCAGTATAATCCATGGAGCAAGGAGAGTGTTATCAATTTAATGTAGTCCAGTGGATCTTTGGATACCACAGGTGACACCTGTAAGCTCACTATGTGTCTGTGGTTAACCTTAACAGGTTCTTAACAGCAGCTCTCTACCTCTTTAATACCTTGTAATCAGCATACAGAATTATCCTGCTTAAAGCCAACCTCAATTAGCATGAGGTGAGAGTATGCTTTGAAGTGTCTCTTGGAAGTAATTTAATATTCTAATATGAAAGATGTGTTTTGCCTGTCCTGCCATAATGAACATGAAGCCTTACTGTCAGATAGGCAACCACACAGAAGTGGAAGATCTTCAAGTGAAGAACTTAATTTTAGGCACAAGGAGAAAAAAAAAAGTCTGTTTTCTGGTTAAGATAATTTACAAGCATCACTGCTTATATCTCAAGTCATGGACGTAGTAATTTTCCAAAAGCATTGCTAATTAAAAACACCTTTTGGAAACAGTTTGCTTTTGGCCATCTAACAGAAGTGTTGGCAGTAAAAGACAAGAGTAGTTTGAATTGTCATCCCAGGGCTGTGGGGGAGAGGGAAGGAGCTATGTAAACTAATAGAGCTAGTGTGTAGGGCTGCAATTCAGAATAAAATCAGAGTGTCATTTGGCATCCATGCAATTACTGTCTTGGAGCCCATCAGAAGTGTGCTGCTCTGTGGCTTCTGTCACGCAGAAGTACAGGCTGACCTCTCCGTGTCTGCCAGTTGATGCTAAGTATTGAAATTTGAATTTGTGTAAAAGTATACTGTGCTAGGAACATGCAGTGTATCTGTGATTCATCTTGACAGCACTAAGAGCTCAGGCTGACTTTTAGCACAGGGACTGAGGAATTGGTGCTTCTCCATTTGATTCCCACTTGCTCTGTGTTATTACCTTCTCTATGCCTTGCTATCCCTAGCTGACAAAATGGGGACAGCACTTTTGCTGCCCATAAATGTATTATGTGAACGGGAGCTGGTGAAGTGCTTTGCTCCTGGCACTTCTGGTGAGACCAGGAGCCTGCCCAGCCCCGGCTCGCACAGTGGCACCGGGAGGTGCCATTGAGGCACATGACACAGTCCGGGCCGCTTTTCGCTGCCCATCCCAGAGGAGCAGGAGGTACGATGCTAACCTGGATGGACTTCACCTCCTCCAGTGCTCGCTGTCCCAAGTGTCTGGCCTCAACAAGGTGCAAGCTACTTCTGCCCTCAGTGAGGGAGTGGAATGCTCCTAGAAAGTGAGTCACTTGCTTTTCCTAACTACCCTTACATGGCCAGTCCTCTATGCTGCAGAAAAGATCGCTTTTCCTCTCCCCTGCCCTATTTGTGCAGCTGTGTCATGACCCAGACCAGGAATTTGACATGAGTCATGAACAAGCCAACCCTGTTCCTGCTCCCTTTCCTTTTTCTAGTCCCCAGGATTTTAGGATGGTTCTCTCCTCCCTTGCTGAGACCCCACAGAGCACTTGGAGATGGAGCAGCGCTGCAGCAGGGAGCCAGGAGCTGCTCCAGGCTTGGCAAGGGCGTCACAGGACTCGTCTGTACTCCCACAGCCTCTGAGCAGACACAGAGCTCCTAAGTAGCAAACACTGGGTGTGATGATTTTCTCTCTATTCGCTTTCCACTGTGCACGTACGTGTGTGGGCTGTGCTGCCAAGGTATTAATGATTCCTGAAGCAGAACATGTGAGAAGAGGCAGCTGTAGTGCACGGTGAGTCAGTGTGAGTACGCTACAACCTTGACTTTAGTTAGGGATGCTTTTGTTTTCGGCTGTATAGGCTCTTGGAGAATATCCTGGAAATAGTGGGATTGTCACCAGAGTTTTGTTCATCTCTGCATTTTGGTGTGTACGCCTCTGATTTGGCATTGCATCATCAAAGTGTCAAGATGAACGCAGAAAAAAAAGAGAGGCAGTCAGTGCATTTAGCATGAACGTGTCAGATATTATCAGGTGCAGAAATTTCTACCTATATGCTACCTGAAAAAGATTTCAAAAGTAATAGTAGGGAAATGCTTTGGAACATTTTATTTAATTTATATGACTATTTGAAAAAAAATACACTATGGATAATGCTTTGAATCATCTAAAATCTGACAAATGGACTTAATTCAAAATATGTGCTAAAAACCTCATGTTCTTTTGGGCCAAAGCATATGTTCTGGGTAGCAACTCTGTATCAAAGCTTTGCAGCTGAGATTTAAATACCTTTTCAAAAGGAATCCTGTACCATAAATGCTATCAGATGCTTAATTAAGACAGCACAAGCAAGGAGCATGTTTGCAATAAATTATGGGGATGTGTTCTGACATGCTTTATCTATGTAAAGATTTCTATTTTTATGTGAAGCTATTTACAGATTATTCATTTCAAAAATAGATTTGTAACTAAAGGAAGATGCATCATATTTCAGTTGCTGGGAGTTGAGAATCCTGCTCGGCTGTCTGCCTGCTCTCTTAGATGTTTATGCCAGTGGCTTACAAGTGTATGGAGTGATTCTGTCCTTCTTTATTTTCTCCCTCTATTTGGAAGAGGGAATTAATATTCAGGGACCAGGTCCCAGGTTTCTTACCCATGCAAGTGGGCTGATTTTTATAATTTTTATCACATTTTTCGAAGCACAGAATAATTTCAGTGAAGTCTGTGAGGCTTTTTGCATGAGTAAGACTTTCGGGTAGTGAAGATCGCTTGCAGTATATTTTGTCAGTTGACGCTGTTTTGTTTCAGGGCAGCAAGCTGTTGTCGCAGTGTCAGTGGAGCCTGCTAAACTGTAAGCCTGCCTTTAAGTATGTATAATAGAAACCTTTAGCATAATTTTTTGCTACTTAATGCTGAAGAAATTAGAATTAGAAGAAATATTTTAATAAATCAGGGCAAAGCCTGAAGGTAGAGGTAATATTTTTCATTAGAGCAACCTTTAGAATTTGAAAACTCATGCAAGCTTGTGTACCTAAGAGCCTGTCTATTTTTTCCAGCCATACCATTTGCTCTAATGAAAGATACTGCCTCTGTCTACAAACCTTGTCCTGCCTGCAAACTCTGTTGATTGCATCTACAGCAAAATATAGCTGGATTATTAAAATAATTCAGGCCTTCTTTGCTTAATTATGGAAACTCAGATTTTTGTGGTTTCCTCAAGTCTCAGCTTTTTGAATCCCAACACACACAAAATGATGCTGTCTGGTTTCTTGTACTGTAGAGAAGCGTTTCATCACATAGAAGCTCAAACTACATCACTGATTCCTTATTTTAGAATGGATATTATAAAGGTAGCCTGCTAAAAGTCTTCTGCCATCTGGATTTTAGGGTATTTTGTAGGATACTGTCAGTGTATGCTGTCAGCTGTCTGGCGTGGATGGCCTCTGGACGTAGTCCTAGCTTAGTACCTGTGTCAGCATCTGATGTGGTGGTGTGGTGATGGGAAGCAGAAGAAATGGGAAGCTGGCAGAACACAATGTCTCTGGTGTGGTCTGTGGGTGTAAATCGAGTATTTCTATGTTTCTAGCTGGGTAAGTAGAGTGGTGTACCCCTTCTAAACAGCAGGAAGCTTGGATTTCAACTTGTTTGGAAGACCTAGACCCAGAGCTGTCTAAGAGTCCTAAGGCCAGCCATGCAAGAGTTTTTTCAGACACTCTGTTTAGTGTGCCTTTCAGAGATTTTCAATGAGTATGTCTCTCATATCAGCCCTAGGCTAGTAGCTTTAAAATAGGCCAAGGTGGTGATGATCTGGACCATCTTGGAATGTCCATGGGGTAGAAGCTTTTCCACCCTCAGAGAGCACAAGCCCTTTCTGTAGTTTGCAGTTTTGGGGTCTTACCAGACCACTTCGTCTGCTGCATGTCTTGGCTGAGCCTGTGACCCTTGCAGGGACACTGCTCTTCTCCTGAGCAGCCCTTGCTGTCCCTGAGGAGCCTTGCTGCAGGCAGTGCCCTGCCTTCCGAGTGAAATGAGAACAGGTTGGTGCTTGAGGGGCGTTGAGTTCTGTGTCCTTTGCTGCCTTCTGTCTGCCTTTGGGCGCGGCTTAAATAGATAGCTGGTAATTACTTGTAAAGCCCTTGGTGGCTGTGGCTGGGGCTATTTTGGAAGCTGATTCTCCCTGCATGCCCTGTTGTGGAAGTTGTGGCTGGCTGGAATGGTCCGTCACCCTCTCGCGGTGGTGACCTCCTCTCCTGGGTGTGTTGCAGGGAATTCAGGGGGAGAGCTCTCAGCAACGGCATGTGGACTCTTGGGCTGCCTGCCAGGGCCTGAATTTGGTGACCTTTAGGATGTGGAAGAAGATGCATTTGTAAACCTTGGTTATAGTAACTGGGAGACAAGCAGAGAATGCTGGAGGAGGAGGAACGCTTTTTTACAGACAAACTGTTTGCTCTCTGTTTGATGTTTATGACCAGCAGCTAGTAGGTAAATATACTAAGAAATGCTGTGACAATTGAAACCGTTGCTCTTTAATAGAATTTAAAATGAAAAAATTATACAGATTTCCTTGAGGAGCACGCGTGTGACACTGAGAGCGCTGTGACTTCTAGAGCTGGTTTGAACACTTGCTCTGCTCTCTATTTTGCTGGAATCATTAAATTCCCTTTTGTAAAATGAATGCAGTCATATTTTAGAGGTGTCCAGATGTATTTCATGTATCATTACCCATGTAGTTTGTGAGTGATTTTGTTTCCTTTAAGAAGAACAAGCAAGCCAAGGCCTGCAGTCCAGCAGTTGTTTGGGTTACACAAGAATGTGGTTTCATGTAATACCTAATTTGGTACCACTGTGGGTTGTGTCTCCCACCCTGTTCTCCACACCAGCTCTAATGACAGGCTTGCGGCAGGTTAAGCTGGGCTCAGCTGACCAATGGGGACTACTCTGCCTTTCCTCACCTTTGGTCAGTTGGTTTTGATAGGTGAGGACTTGGACTGGTGAGCTGAACTGACCCACCATGGGGCTGCTTCATAACCCCACCTGGTGCCAGGGAATGCAGGAATCCAGTGTCTGGCTGGAGGAGCAGGCGAGCAGGATTGCCCCAGTGTGCTAATAACAAAATTGGGAAAGGCGCCCCTCTTTCCTCACGGCAGGGCCCTCCTGATGAGAAGGACTGACTGTAGTTTGGTTGTGACAGCCAGCACTTGAGAAGGGGTGCTCATGTTAGTGAAGATCTGCTGGTGAATATTTGCATCGCTCATGTTACAGGCTTGCAGTGTATTCTTGCTCTGCCTGAATGTGTCTGACCTGCAGAGGACAGAGGATCATCTTTCTACTTTCCTTCCAATTGTTTCTGCTAATTTAGCATCAGTTTGAAGCTTTGTCTTTGCTTAGAGATCAAATTGCCAGGGACAAGGCTCTTTGTTTTCACTTTGTGGTAAAAGTGGCAAGGTCAGTCCCAGTGGGGCTTGTACGGTTTACACTGCTGAATTTATCTCATGTATTAAGGGTTTTCTATCACCTACAGCTAATGCATATTGGTAACTCTAGCATCAAAAATACCTTTTCATCAATGAAAACAAGGTCTCTGTTTGTAAATGCATTTTCACCACAGTGGATAGGAATATCTTAGCAGCCATGTAGAACAGCCTTCCCATCTCTCTTTTCTAATATCTCAAAGAGCAGCATCTAACTTGACCTGCACACTCAGGTCATTCCACTGGGTACTTCGCAAGACTTCCTGAATGGCACAGGAGTTCCTTCATACCAGGAAACAGACAACTTTCTGGCAAAACAAACCTTGAACTCAAGCAAGCTTTTCTTTTCTATCTCTTTCAGAAATAAGTAAGAATTTGAAGATGACAACCTCATGGAGCGACCGACTCCAGAATGCAGCAGACCTCCCTGCAAACATGGATGGACATGCTCTGAAAAAGTACCGTCGGGAAGCCTATCACCGGTAGGTCATCCGTGAAACTCCAAAACTAAACATAAAACCCACATTTCTTGGGGTTTTTTTTGCTTGTTAGTAGAACAGGAAGGTTGTTCTTACCTTCCTCATAGAAGTGTTGGTAGAAGAGAGCTTAGTAGACAGCACAGTATTGGCCTATAAGAGTTTGCAAACATCTGAGTTGAGATACGTGTACTGGACTGAGTGAGGATGTGCTTCTTATTTCAGTCAAAAGATTAATCAAAGTCAGATTTTGGATAGAAGCTTTCATAAATACTTAGAGGCAGAGGTTTTATGATAATTATTGCAGTGCACACTTGGACAGTGCAGAGCCTTGGATGCTGGAATGCACAAATATGAATAAGGAGGAAATCAAATGGGGTCAGAAACTGTTTGAGAATTACACCTAGTGTGATTAACTGTGTGACCACAGGAGCGTGCAGCAACACTAGGCAAGAGCCCAACCTTTTCTCTGTTAGGTGTAACTAAAACCATCTTTGCTGGAAAACAAGTACAGTAAGTAAAGGAGAGAAAGTTCAAAATAAAAGGAATGTTATCACTCTTAGTTTATAGTTTGGGAATCAAAGTGCAGGCACTAGGTTGTTTTTGCAAGATCACATTGGAGGTGTGATTGAGCCAAAAATTTCTCAAGGTTCCAAGCACAGAGCATAAAAGACGGATGAAGTCTGTATCCTTATCAGATGTCTGGTCTGCTACAGAGTTAAAAACTACAGCATCTACTAATTGTCAGTATTCTGTTTGTGGGAGGTGTATCTCCAAAGTTTAGCTAGGTTATTTTGAGAAGTCATACAGTGTGATGATCAGAGGATATTCAGCAGAAGGGGAAATGTATGTCTGATGTAGAAACAGAAAAAGAAGTCAAGTTTCTCAACCTCCTGCATAAATGCCACGTTGCATTTGTGATTCACATTGGTGGTATTTCTGGGGAAGTGTTTTGGAAGTGTTAGATATCTTTTGATTCTCCAAATGGAATCTAATTTGAGAAAAACGTCTTAGTGCATCATATGATTGGCCAGGTTGTGCAAGTTGCAGTGTCCAGGGCTAAGTAATGGATCCTGTGATGTGTTTCCAAAGCCTTCCAAGTTCCAAGGAATATGTTTGAACAACATATCTTAAGTGGTGGCATTATTTGAATCTCTCTGTCAGCTGGTTTGTCAGATATGGAAGCATTTAGTGAATGTAACTATATATAGCATGTAAGAAGAGAGAGATTTTATACCATTCCCTGTCAAAAACTCTTCCCCTTGTTGCAGTCATTGACAGGTTTACCTTTGTGTCATAAATTCATTTAAAACTTCAGCTGTGTTACTCCTGATTCAGATTGATGGAAATCAAGTCAGAATAATGCTTATATTTTTTTCCAAGTATTTCCTTAGCATTTGTTAAGTGCTGACAATTTGCTAAATGTTGTAGAGGATCCAAAGGAAGCCGTGCTTGTCTTTAAGAGCTCATACATTCAAGCCCCCATTATGTTTACTCTTACTTGTGTATGAAACCCTTACTTTCAGAAATAATTTCCTTATGGAAGATGGGAATTCAGTCATGTAAAGGAGGGCTTCCCAAGCTGGGATCTGGTAGCCCAAAATTAATCTGTGGTAAAGTTTAGGTACCTGTTTTTAGCAGCTAGAAATGTCTTATGCAAAACATACCAAGCAGAAATGCTGCTAGCATCACAGATTTTCATGGAAAGCACAACATTGGAAATACATTAAGGGGAGGCACATTTTTGTTTTGGAATTGCTATCCTCTTTCAAAGAGAGAGAGAGAGGGAGGGAATGGTAGAGAATGAGAGAACCTGATGCCAAGACTGTAGTATAAATCTGTGCTATTAATGGCTTTGGTATACCAGTTTCATGGGAGTTATTTTGATAATCCAGTATTGTGAGAATCTGAAACAACATCATTCCAGAGGCAGTGTTGTCAGATTTCTATTTCTGGTACTTTTCATGGTCGGTCGTAGTGTTAACAGATGTGATGTTACTTTAAAAAGTGCAAACTTAACATGATAGAGTATGACTGAAGTTATTTCCCCTTGGTGTTTGATATTGTATCTTTTAGTGTTTTATTAATGCTTCAGATGCAGAATATGTGTGCTGGTCACAGCCATGAGTTGTAGGATGTAAATGTGTTTCACTAAGGTCCAGGTATGCTCTAACTCTTGGATATTGCAGAAGCACTGAAAGTTTTATGAAAAAGAGAAATAGAAAATACAAGATGTCATTGTCAAGATTATTTTCTTTTTCTTCTTTTTCTTCTCTTTTTCTTTTAGTCTTTTTTTTTCTGTCTCTTTTTTTTCTTACTCCAGCAGCTAAAGGAAAAATTCTTGAAAACATTAATCTAAAGTGACTTAGAAACAAAACCAGTAAGAACATTGAATTTAACCTATTACAATTTTGTTACCTTAAAGCTGGTCAAAGTTATTTTATGGGACTAATCTGAAAGGCTGGAGGAGCTTGGCAGCTACACCACATTTACAGATGAGCATAAGTGGGACTAGCTTTTGTTAGCTATGTTGAAAGCCTAGTTGAGCTCAAAGTCATTCAGCAGATTTTCTAAATTATGCTAGGAATGCTTAGTTTTCTGAAGAGCGAAATTTAAAAAAACTTGTTTTGCTGTTTGTTTACTTCATGCTTACTTTAATACCAGTGGAGATACCTAGACCAATCAATTTAACATTCTTGTTCTCATAAAGTACACCAGATTTGATATGCTTGAATTGTAAATGAATTCAGATTAAATAATGGGAAAAGCTTCCAAAAGCAAAATAGTTTACTTTGAAAAAAATATATAAATGTTCTTGTGGCCATGAAACTTTTAAAAAACTTCTAAAAAATTACCTCTGAAGATGCCACTCTAATAGTCGTAGTTTACAGTGGTCATTCTTATTGGGAATGTGTTTTTTCAGGTGCTGCACTTCTAATTGTATCATAATTGATGGATGGGTGTTCAACATATAATAATTGTTGGCAGAAGTCCCAGTTGAGACTGGTTTAACTGGTGTTGTGCATACCGACTCAGAGTATGATGACTGTATTGTAATCGTATCTGAATGCCATGGGCAAGAATGTTCAGAATCAAATTTTTATAGCTATAGAATCAGAAAAATCTATTAGGGAGGAGAAGTGGTGGGGTTTTATCTTCAGGGAATTTCTGACAACTTTAATGAAAGCTTTAGCTTAGCTGGTGTTGCTGTCAGACCTTGTTACACAACGCTGCTGGCGGCTGTTGGAGGTGAGGTCTGAAGATGAATTAATATGCAAGCTACATGTTGCTCATTCTCTAGCAGAGGTCACTGGTAAGAGGATACTGCATTACTGTGCTATTGGCAACACAGATTTTAATTCGGAAATAAAATGGATGTGTAGTTCTTGGGAGACTTTTCCTTGGCATGTGTGGTTGTGAGGCCACCTCCCTCCTGTGCTGCTTGTTGACTTTTCCGGGTAGAGGATAATCACAGATCATTTGTTCTGGAGGAGAACTGTCATTTAATGTGATTGTAATTAGGTAAGAACTAGGGTGACTCTGAGCCACCGAATTGCCCTAGTGTCTATTTTTTAACTTGGAGTGAGCACTTCTAGGCACCCTCTGGATTATCTCACATAGCTCTTTAGGGTTTAAATAGCAACCTCATCAAGTTAAAGCAAATAATGGAAAAAGTTGGTGTTCCATCCACTCTTGTTACTGACAGTTACCAAGATCCAGGAAACAGGTATTTGTACTTATATTTATTTATCTGTGGTTTTGGCTTAGCAGAGCAGTAAGGCTGAAATGGCCTTTTTGTTAAACATGCTGGCTTTGGGATGCTTCTACCATTTTGCATCAGAATAATTTGAGACTTCTCTTCCTGAATGTGGGGTTTCTGTTGTTGTTTTAATTGCTGGGGTTTTTTCTTTCTCTTTTGTTTGCTGGCTAGTGCAGGGTATGTGGCATCATGATTCCTAATCCTAATTCTCCTGCTGACTGCTGATAGAGTATTAAATAAGTTGCTTCATAGTTCTCTACTTCAGTTTGCTTTCAGAGCACCTTATGGTGGTGATATAAATGATTTTAGTTGTTACTATACACTGAGATTCTGGATTAAAAAATAGCATATACTTTAATAATGACAAAGCAAAAGGATTGCAGATTGGTTGTTTTGATTTAATGGATTAAAGATGTACTTTAGCTTGTTCAAATTTGTAGACTCTGGGCTATTCACTGCTAATCTTGTTTCTTCACTTAATTGTTACTGGATCACCAGTGATTGCAAACAGGTGGAAATGTTGTATAAACAAGGCTGTGAGACTTGAAACTCTTCATCTGTTTAGGTGGCTCTATTTAAGTTGCTTCAAAATTACCAGTTCATTGAGGTGGAAAATTAGTCCAAATTTTTATCAGTCTGAAAGTGCTCTTTTCATGAAACACATTTGGACAGGCCATGTGTGGTGTTTCCATGTACTGGGTAGCTCTGGAGGCTCTGCTGGCAATCGTCTGTCCTCGTGTGTCTGAGAAGCTTCCTCGGATCGCGTGCCTCTCTCTGTTTTGGTTTAGACACTGGAGAAGGGAGAGGGAGTGTCAAGTCTTCAGAACGGGTGAGCTTATAAAAAAGCACACCACTTGCCAAATGAATAATAAAGAAATTACATTGTAAATGTCCCATGATCCTTAGCTTTAATAGTTTCAGGGAGCAGACAAGTGTTATTTTGGGATGGAATCCATATGTGAGCTTCTTGGCACTTTGCTGTTGCCTGGGAAGAAAACCCAAACAATGAAAACAGAAATGGCCAAGGCTATCTCTTTGCATCTGATTCCTGCGGAATTTCAGAGGGAAGTGCTCATAGTTGTGTTTCTGGATACAGCCTCAACATGCTTTGAAGTTCCAGTCATTACTGGATATTCTAGTTTTATGTCACTATAACTGTACAAGGACAGTTAGACTTGTAAAATTGTGGGGCATGATGGTGGAAACGTTACTAGAAGTGGCCAGGAAATTTTTGTGCACTTCTTTT